TGAGCCTATGAGGAGGTGAAAGTCCTTCTTTTGGTGATGATTTGTTAAGGGAGGGCACCTAATGTGTAGTTGGGCTTTACCTTAACCTACTTTTCCACATTAGCAGCAAAGATAGGAGCTCCTTCCAATGTGGACAGCTTCATCTAACTGTCAGTTTCCTCTACTCTACACCCCCACTACCCATAAAATGAGATGTTTAACTATTTGACATTGTGACCCTGCTACCTGTCTGCCATCACTGATGATGTTCCTGCTGCTTCGTCTACATTTTGTAATTACCTGAAGTGCCAGGAACAGGATTTAAATTAACATCGAACATGGCAAATATCACCCCTTTCCCCCCATTCCCAATTCCTGACCACAAGCTGACTATATATTTTTGTTTACCCAATGTGAGCAGAGTAAACCCCACCCAGTGGCATAATAACAATATTGCAACATGGCGGAGGAGGGGAGGTTGTGGAAATTCCCATCACCTTCCAGGAGGAGATTGTTGTTCCACCTGAGGATTATCAAGTGGGGACTGGACTGGGGGGTGGTTTCTACTATTAATAATTAGCTTCTGGCCAACGGAATGCATTCTCAGCAGAAGCAACAAGCTGCTGGGATAAAAATACTCCATGCAACCACAAATACTTCTTCTTCTTCCTCATGCAGCTGCAACAATTTTTCATTATGGATAATAATGTTTTGATTGAGCATTTTTGTTGGTTTGCAATGGGGAAAAATGTGAAAATTGTGAAAATCAAGGCAGCTGGAAAAGCATTCCTTTGGGAATTTTTCGTTCTAGTTATTAATATTTTTTAGCATTTGGGAATTTGGAAGATTTGGTAGTGTTTTTGTTGTTAGTTTTTAACAGGAAAGTTGTTTTAGTTTAATCAATTTTTTTAATATTTTTAAGCTCATAAGGAAAAATAGATTTTCAAAACAGATTTCAGCCTTCTCTTTCCCCTATTTTGGGTTATCTTTTTAGCTTATATATAATTTTCTTACATTTTTAACTTTGATTTGAAAAGGAAAACTTAACATCTTGGAAAAGCTCTTTCTTTAGGCCTTCTTTCAGTTTTTAAGATAAAATTTCTTCAAGTTTTTTAGAGGATAAAAACCCAAGTTTAGATTCGCAAATAATTTCCCCTGAACAAATTTCTCACCTTGACTGAATCAGAAATGAACTGTCCAGCAGGACGACCTATCAGTGGGAAATCAAATTGAAAGGCATATCTCATTTCCCCTGAACGATGGATGGGTTGGAAAATGTGTCCTTGAGCTGCATAAAATTTAACAACACATTTTGCGCGGGATTTTACTTTGCAGTTGCAGTCAGGACAGCAGCAAGCTGTCAGGCTGTGGGATTTCTCATATGTAATTAGCCTTGGCGTTGGTCCTGTCAACGCTGGCATTGCTATTTTTAAGCTGCCATTGATGACGATGACCTTGGAGCCCAGTAGCGACTGGCCCCTGGGGTGGGTTTGGTTGTTGGATGTTAAGGGGCGTGGCAGGTGTGACGTGGGCGAAAAGCCTTTACAATTCTTGACATGCATTCAGCCTGGCAATTCTATGCCACACACTTGAATACACCTTTTGTGACTTGGCTAGAGAGATGGTGGTTTTAGTATTTTCCAAAAGGGGGGGAGGGGGTGGTGTTACATGGGTGACAGTAGGGACCTGCGAAATGCCTTCGGCCGCGGCCTTTGTGTCATCGAGCCTCGTTAATTCCACTGCGGTTGCAAGTAGTACGTAGAGGCAAAGGAAATTTATGGACAACTGATTCGAGCAACGAAATTGTGTCCTTGACAGGTGTAAATTAATGGCCAGTCAAGGAGCCCAGGACATTCCTGTGGCAACTCTACACGACGCAAGTTGCTGTTTAATTAGAAGTAATACAAGTTAATGAGAAGCTAAGTGGGAGTATAATGATGGTTAGTCTCTCTTAAGTTTAGGGATAATCTTAAACTGCAAAGGCAGATATTAAGAAACTAATACGGATAACTCTTCCAGACTGATAACTTTCTTATCTAACTCCCCCAGTTTCCTTCCTCATTTAGATGTCATTAACCGATCTTCCGTGGGAATTTATGTATTCAGATTGGCTGCTGGTTGCTGCTCCCATTACAAGCTTAACCCTACGTGCATACATCGTCTCCCTGGTCGTTCCTGGTCGTTTATTTTCAGCATCCAATCGATAGGATTGTAACGCTTGAGTGCATTTTGTAGCATGTTTTCGATGAGGATGTTGAGGCGGCTGTTGAGGATGGGAAACACAGGGTGGATTGATGGCCTCTGCTACTGCTGCTACTCCTCTCTGCCTCTCTTGCCACTTGCCACATTTATTTATTTATACCAAAACCAGCGCACAGGCCGCGAACATTACACGGGGAACTTGGGTTTCCTCTATTTTGTTTTTTTTTTCGGTGGGTTTTGCGTTTCGAAGGATTTGGCGTAAAGGCTTGGATTGGAGTTTTCCATGGGGAATACAAATGAAATTATCCAAGACAGCAAACGGTGGATGTCAATCAGATTTCAAATCAAAGTCAGGTACTCAAGGGTACCCAAATGCCATCAAATCTTCGGGGATTCTCCATAACAATACAAAGTTGGCACTAACATATATTGTAAGACAACCAATTGCTGGAAAGTATCGAAAAACACATTTATTTTTGGATGTTTAAAAACAGAATGCCTTGTTTGAGAAAGCTAAGCATCTCTGTGGGGAATACAGGAAGTTCTTTTGGGTGCCTTGAAGTTAGACAGAACGTATTTTGAGCTATCAATTCTCTAGTTTTGTGAAATATTGTTAAAAATGTACTCTTTAGATTACATTAGCCAATAGAACCATTATTGGCTTAGTTATGAGAAAAATACTCTCATTTCGAGGGCACTAAGGGGACCAATCATATTTCTCATTTTCCATAACATCATTAAAGTTTGCAAAAATTGAAAATTTTGTACATTTTTAACTGTCAATGCAGTTTTTCCAAGAATTTTAAAACAAACTCAACGACGTATTACCTTCCATATTTTGATTATTATTGGCTGAGTTATGGGAATAATACTTTCACTTTGAGGGGAAAATTGGGATAAACCTAGTTATGACTTTTCCAACTAAACAGTTTTGTTCTGTTAGAAATCAACTTACGAGCTCATAGAGGTTTCCCAATCTATATTCAGACCACTTTTCCTCTTTACTCTTTCTAAACAAAATACTGACTTAACCTGGAAAAATCTAAATTAAAACTTTCTACAAAAATCACAATATTTTTCGTGTTTTTTGATTCCAAAGTCCATGTCTCCGACTGTTCAATGGCTATTTGGATTTGGAATTTAAAACTTAAAGATTCTTTCAAGCCTTAAAGAACGTTGTGTTCCTTGCCGAAGCTTACAATGGAGCTCATCCTGCTGTTGCCAGGGATTATTTTGGCATGGCCAGGGTCTTGGGCTTCTTCCACTGGCACTAATCTAAGTCCCGATCATAACTTACTTACAAACCTCTTAAATGGGCTTGCATAGTAGCAGCTCTGCACCCCTGCCCTGGCCCCATGGCCCTGTTCCCTGACCCGCCCTGTATCTCCATTTGCAAATCGAAAAGGAAACCATTGTGTGGCCACTGGACTTTGGCCTTGTCCTGCGATTGTTACTGTCTGTCTGTGTGTGTGTGTGTGTGAGAGAGAGTCTGAATCCTGCTCCCCTATGGCAATAATAACTTGTAAGTGCTGCATGTTGCATGTACTTGTTTGTGTGAATGAATCTATTATGCACGACTGTCCCTGTGTGTGTGTGTGTATTTGCTGCTTTAATGGGAATTGTTGAGCTCAGGTCTGTCAGCTGCGGCTAAATGTAGTTCTTGCCCGTCCGCCCATCTGTTGAATAAGCCAAAAGTGCTCCAGACTCTACCTCTAAGAGATTAAAAAGGGGTTTTAGGGAAGGGCAAGACCCGTGGAACCGAATGTAGTAACTCCCTATGGATAGATATCGGTCGGGGATTTGGAAAAGTTGTCCTTTTAGAAGACAGACAGCAATATTTGAGCAATGGAACCTAAGCAGTGTTTAAAAGGAGTAACTGCTTAGTGGGTAATAACACTGCTTGCGAGCAGATCAGACACTGCTTGCAGATGGGGAAGAAAACCCACAAGAAAAAGTACTTTAAATAGGTTTCTGTTCTCTCTAAAAATATGCAAAAAAAAACCTTTTTATAAGAAAAATATTTCTAAACAGATCTTTAAGATATTATTTAAACTAAAATTAATTAAAAATGTGAAGCCTTTCGAACTCTTTAAGTTACTTAATTAATATAATTAAGTTTTACCCATTAAATAATCTTCCCACTGTTTAGTTTCCCTATCAAAATCCCTTCTATTAACTGTATTTAAGCCAATTCCGTTTCCGTTTCCCATCTGTTGACATCAAAACCATCAAAATCAATCAAGAAGTGATTCATGAGACGCGAGAAATTCGATTAGTATCGTCGGTTGGTGTGTGTGGCAAGCATTTTGAAAGCGATACAACATATAGATTTTGGAAACCGCAAAACAGTGGTTTTCGAATCGAATTTTGTAACTGCCAAAGCTCTGCAATTAACCATAATTAGTTTCTTTCATTTTTTGTTGATGTTCCTCCTGTGGGCCAACGAAAACCACAACATTGCATGTTGCCACAAATACAAACAAGAGAACTCACTCACACGCATAGAGTGTGGCACAAGACAGAGAGTGGGCCGAGAGGGAGGGAGGGTATCAGGAAGCCATGATAAAGAATATGTTTGTTTAGTTTCTGTGTGTGTGTGCGTGTGTGTTTGAGGGGGGATGTAGTAGTAGGTGACCGTGTGGGTATTTGCCTGGCTGTGTGTGCGTGCGTGAGTGAGCTGCTTGCTGACTGGGCTGGCTGGCCCACTTCCGTTAACGGCATTTGCCTCAATTTGGAGAATTAAGTCTTAAAGCGTAATTGAGTGAAAATTTTCATTGAACCATAAGTGTAATTTTTTTATTTTCTATTTTATTTTATAGTCTTCACGTGTGTGGATTCTAAAGCAGTGCAGATGCTGGCAATAGCTGGGAGCTATGGAACCTAAGCAAAGTTTAAAAAGGAGCCACTGCCGAGAAGGTACCTGCTTGCACTGCTTGCGATCAGATCAAGAACTGCTTGTTGTTTTGTAAGGAAAACAAGACAAGATCTCCCCTCACTCCGGTAAGTAGTTTCTTTGGTTGAACAGCAATAAAATCTTATTAATTTATTTCAGCAGATTTCCCGGATTTACTGGAAAGTTAGAGCTAGAATAAGCGCCATGTGTGAGCGTGTGCGTGCGTTGGCCAGTCAGCGGAAGGAAGGGACTGTGTAAACCTACTTTACGCCTTGCTCGCTTGCTCTTTTCATTCTGCACCGGAAACTCTGCCATGTACCGGAAATGTGACAGCCATTGATCAGTTTGCCAGCTTGCTAACGTGCATATGTCTCTATGTGTGTGTGTGTTTAAGCCATTCTAGCAGAATAAGTGCCTTGCCACTTATCGATGGCATTTAACTGGCGGCATCGACTGGAATGCCCAACGCCTGAATGGCGGAGAGACCTAAAAGATACTGTCAACTTGGAATACAAAAGGATATATTCGGAAAATGATTGGGTAAGCAGACGAAATTTGGTGGTCCTTGCTGGGTTCGAAAATATGTTAGCCTAGCTTAGGTTAAACATTATTGGCATTTAATCTGTAATCGTAGTTTAAGTTCTTTTAATTTGTAGTTAGGTTAGTTTTGAGGCACTTAAGTTGGAAGATGAAGTGATGGTGGACGGGAAATTGTCCATTCCCCATTGGAGAGTTGAGTCGCAGCAGCCACTTCCGTTTTTCCATTTTCATTTTCCGTTTTTGCACCATTTCCACAAAAACCCCTCACAAATGCATTGCCTTCGAAAATGCAAATGTGACCGAATTCCCCGACGTAGTAGACATGTCGGATGTGCTAGGAGGAATCCGGATGGGATATAGGATGTAGGATGTTGGTGGTGGGAGGGGGGTTATAGAAAGAGGGTAGATCCTAGGGGATCGGGGGCCTTTAACAAGCACAAGCAACAGTTATCATTATGCTGGGCCAAGTCTGTCAGAGGCAGTCAGTCAGCCCAGTCAGTCGGTCGGACGGATTCGTCCGACGGTCCTTTGCACATTTGCAGCTAAATCACGTACTCGGTAAATGTGCTACTAATGAGCGTAGGAGAGACGGCACAGCGAGGAGTGGCCTGCACTGAGAGAAAAGCTAAGGAGTTGAGGGAATTGTAGGAGATTAATTGAGGATTTAATAAGAGTAATCGATAGAAATATTGACATTTAACTTTGGAATTTCGCTTTTAAAATCATAAAGAACCTAAGCCGTCTTAGATCCTTTCAAGAGAAGGAACCTATATTTTTTTTTGTTTAGTGTTTTAACCGTCGGCAGTCAGGCATCATGGAGCCTAATGTCCCTGATTTTACAAATGATTGTCGAACAAATGCCGCCGCCCTCCTATACCCCCCGCCACCCATTAACCCATGTGTGCCCACCTTGGCACTCGGCTTCCATACACAAACACTCTTTCACATTGAGTCGATTCAATCATTGGGGGGCGTGTGTGTGTGTGTGTGTGTCTGTGTAAACAGGTTCTATAAATAAATGCTCATTTCTTTGGTGGTGGAGAGGTGCAGGGGGTTGTAGGTCCAGGAACAATGCCCCCGTTGAGGTGGTTTTACTGGGCTAATGGCGGCGCTGTGGCAAAAAGGTGGGGCAAACGAGACCCCCCAAAGTTTTTAACAATTGGTCCAGCCTAAAAGCAGGCAGCAGAAAGTTAACACAATAGTCATAAGCGCTCGCCCACACCAAATCAGATACGGGTGTGGGTGTAAGTAGGTGTGGATGTGTGAGTTACAGAGCTTGTCAAAATAACTAGACCTATGCGATCTAATCAGTTTGAGATTATATATATTTTTGGAAACCAATCAGCTAATTGCGTTGTCAAGGAGCGAAGACATTTTTAGATTTTTAAGGGAATTTTTTGAGATGAAATTAAATGGGTTTTGGAGGATTATTTTTGTGATTTAAAAAGATATGGAAAACCATCTTGATTGTCTTAAAATGTTAAAAGGGGAGAAGTGTATTTTTTTTCTAACTTTTAAATGGTTTTATGGAGGGAAAATTTGGGTTTATAGGAATATAAAGAAGATGTAAACTACGTTGGAGTCTTCTTAAGAGTTGATAGGTTTGAAATTTAGTAGACCTTCCCGTTAAATATGCTTAAACTTAAAAACCTTAACTAATATAAACTCAAATATAACCCCCCTTAAGCTCTCCTGTCACTTTTATGACACCCAATTAAAGTTCAATATCAAAAATAGATTTTTGAAATGTACTTACCTGGACCAAAGGTGACAGCAATTCGAACGCAGATAGAGAGAGAGAGAGATAGAGAGAAACTAACAAATGGCAAGCAGAAGTGAGGCAATTGGAAAACTGAACTTGCTAGACAAGTCAAAACTATCTAAACTAAAATGTCGAGGGACGTGTTTCCGTTTCCGTTGCCGTTGCCGTTTCCGTTTCCGTTTCCGATGAGTTAGTAAGTTGTTGCCAATTCGAAACAAAGTTAGTTTCCTTAACTGGCAAATAAACACCAAACTGGAAAATTGCCTTCAAGAAGAGGCCTCACTGTACTGTACTATTTGGTTTGTACAGAAAATAATAAAAGTCTATGTGATTAAGCAGAAACATTCATCTCTTCTCTTCTCTTTATGTTTGCCCCTTTTGAGAGGGGGGAAAATTTTCGAGGAAATGTTCCGCAAAAATGCCCTTGAGACTAGGAAAGTTTACATCAGTTTTTGGCTTTGAAGTAAAAAGCACTCGGGGAGTTGAATTTGAGTTTAAGGTCTTTATTAAGACAACTCGTTTTGAATTGCTGACTAAATTTGTGTTGCCTGTTTTAGTCTGTTTAGTTTTTTAAGTCAATTAAGGGGAATTAAGCTACTTTGGGAATAAACTAATGAAGTTTGTATTTTGCTTTTTCTGATATTAAAATGGCTGATATTTGCGTAAACTTTTTGTTTTCTTTAATAAATATATTAACTATATTTCAAAAAGGACAGTTTGTTGACTGTTTAAGCACACAGGAAATGTAAATTATTTAATGGATTTTCCTAACAATTGCCATGAAGGCCTTCTTGCCTGCGGCTAAAACTTAAAATGTTAATTGGCGGCCAGAACAAAGGCCAAGCCATTAGCATTAATTGCAACTGCATTGGGCCAAAAATAAAAAGGAAAAAATAAAATGTAAAATTAAATAAATAAAATCAATAATATAAATTCATTAAAATTGAAGACCTAAAATTAAGCCATAGGAGTAGTTCCTTCTCTACTTACATGTTGATTTTGTTTTCTTAACTGCTTGTCTGTCTGCCTCGTTAGATCTTTGGTTTTCCTTTTTTTTTGGTTTGGGGTTACCTTTTTTTCTTTCTGCTGGCCTATGTTTTCTTTTCCCTTGATTTTGGCATTTAAAATCAACCTGGCAGCTGCTGTATATATATATCTTCTGCTTTATATTTCTTTGATCAATGTTAAAGCATCTGTTGCTTGTCAGGTCCTCAGTAGTAGTAGTAGTAGTAATGGTTCAGTGAGATATATATATGATGATGAGTGGTAGATCAGGTAGTAGCAGTAGGTATGTTCTGATTTGTTGTACTTCCGTGATGGCTTTCAGGTAGTTTGAGTGATTCGATGGGGGTGCTCGGATAACTATTGCATTGCTTTCGATTCACGAAAAAAAAATCATTTAAATATTGTAATTTCCACACAAAAAACCACACTTTTCTTTTATTTTTCTTCTTTTTTTTTTTTTGTTGTTGTGATAAATATATTCTTGGCACTTTGAAAAAAAAAATGTATTGTCTTTGTGACTTGTGTTGCACTTTGTATTTTGGCTATAATGATGTTGCTGCTGCTGCTGCCTGTTTGGTGATGATGTTGCCTACTGTTGATGTTGCCACTGTTGCTCTTGTTGCTCCTGTTGCTGTTGCGAGGCGCACAACCTTTTGGCTTGGATGTTGAACAGCATCTGTTGCTCCGCTGTTGGCCAACTGACGAGGCCACCTCGTGTGGCGGGCATAGACTCGGGGCCACTTCGGCTATAAAACCCACCACCCCAACCACTTTATTTCGAAGAAAGAGCCACCCACACGCCACCCATGCCATCCATGCCCAACATTCAAGCCACAAAGACTATCCGAAAAACCACCCAATGCCACCCTCCCGGGGAACAACAAGTGGAAAGTGTGTAACTGTAACGACACGACCATGACGACGACGACGACGACGACGGTGGCGGCAGAAGCAACAGCAGCAGCAGCAGCAGCAACAGTCGAAGCAACAGCACTAGCAGCTGCGACAGCAACAGGCTTACGTGGCGACCAGGTGATACGATGGAGTGCCATCTCGTGTATTACTTTTTTGGGGGTTGCTGCTGTTGCTGTTGCTCTTGCTGTTGCTGCCACGCTTGAGAAGGGGCAACAGCGCAGCTCAGCTCGCTGGCTGAATCGCTGATTAAGGGGAATACGTTGGCCGTTTCTTCTGATGTTGCAAGTGATGTTTTGATGGCGCTTCTTAGGAGAGGCTACTAAGTTGTAGGGAAGCCAAATGGCCAAAGTTAAGGGAACTCAAAGAACGTTAAGGAATCTCTAGGCTTGGGATTAGCTTGTTGTGGATTTTATTAGTTTTTTAAATATAACTTTTGATTAAATATCTAAAAATATATCTCAAAAAAGAGAATTCTTGAAGAAATTTGGAATTAATATACAAAAAAAATAAGTTTCTTAACATTTGTTCATTTACTTACTTTATGAGTATTTCTGAAAGCCTTTTCTAGGCATTTTAAAATGTAAAAATTACGATTCAAAGATTAATATTTACCATTATTATTATATAAAGTAATATATTAAAAAATAAGTTAAAAATAAATTGATATATTTAAGAAAGAGAATGGCATCAAAATCCTCATTTCTGATACTATTTTATAAGCCAATTCCTTTGTTTTGTTTTATTAATTTCTTTATATTAGGTTGTCAAATAAGTCTTGCGGTATTTTTTATTGAATTTTCAATTGTTCATAAAATTGGTTACAATAATGCGATTCAAGTCAAATATGCGCCGTTTTGTTCGACGACGCGTTCCCAACGAGATGTTAACTTCATGATGCCCCTCTCATAGAAGCTCGCTTCCCTATTGGCAAAAAACTCGGAGCGTGGCGCATCTTCGACCACCTCGACACCAGAACGAAAACGTTGATACCATCGTTGTGCGGTGGAAATGGAAACTGTATCGGGTCCATAAACTGCACAAATTTTATTGGCGGCTTAAGATGCATTTTTGCCTTTATCGTAGTAGTACTGAATGTAAAATATGCCCTATTTTCTCTTTATTTTGCTTTATTTACTTTCCAAAAATGTATAGTATGACCTGATGCGACGAATAAAACAAGAACTACGCGCCTTCAGCGCCCACTAGCGAAAATACCGCAAGACTTTTTTGACAACCTACTTACTTTTATTATTATTATTATTATTATTTTTATTATTAATTTTATTTTTCCTTATATATTTGTATTCTACAAAGTATTATTATAAAATCAAACTGTTAAGTTATTAAAAAAAATAATATTCTAATGTTTATATTTATATAGAAGAGAAACAAATTGCCTTTAAAGTAGCCTTTAAATGCTTTTAATTAATCAGGAATCAGGAATCCACATTACTGCCCAATTTATAGCCTCATAGCTATTAAGTTTCAGCCTAATCGTAAGCGAAAGCAATTATTGGGTAAGGCGATATGCTAATTTTAAATAATGGCTGAAGTTGGGGCTGCTAGACTAAAAAGCTTAAAAATAAGCTTAAAAATAAGCTTAAAAATAAGCTAAAAATTCAAATTAAATATATAAAATAAAACTTGAATTAACTGGTCAATATTCTATATTACTCGTTATTAAAGGTGATTGCTAATTTATGATTATTTTTAAATGATTTTTAAGCCATTAAGTTCAAATTTTCTTGCTAAATGAAGGCATCTTCTTCCTGAAGAAATTCTATAAAAATTCCTATTTAAAGTTCTTCTTTATTTTATAGAAATTGTTTAATTCATTCTTGTAAAATTGTTTTAACTGCATTTGCCAGTAAATTTCAACCATCATCATCTTCTACCATCATCGACCAAGGCAATTGCTGAATGAGGCGTCGATATAAAATTGCATATTGCATCCAGTGCGAATGGGGCTCGGCAGTAATTCTGCTAACTTGATTTACGCAGATCATTGCTATTGGCGACTTGGGCAGCCTTGGTTCTCCGATTGCCAACGGCAAGGTTGATGGGTGGATTGGTTGTGGGTGAATGGGTTGGATTTTACTTTCTGTATGGTTTTTTTTTTGTGTGTGGATGTGCTGCAACGCCTACGCCAGCGGCTTACCTGTTGGACTTTGTGCGCCATACGCGGGCGTACGCGCAATATGCACTTTGTCAACAGGTTAGCCTTGAGCCTTGGTCTGCCCCAGCCAAGGACACCGATTACTCCGCTCGTTTTATGTTCTATCTCGTTTGCACACTGGCTAACTATCTCATTCGCACTCAATGCACATTCAGCGCATGCCCCAGACGCGAAGGCGTCGAAAATCCGGCGGAGAATCCTTGTAACTGTTGGGATTGGTGGATCAAATTCAGCACATTCAGTGGTTGGCTTTTTTCGGGTTTGTTTTTGTTGTTGTTGTGAAGGGGAATAGCAGGACGAGATTCAACGAATCTGCCCGAAAGCTAGGCTTCTGTGGCGGTGGATTCTTCTACCGAAATTTTTCAGTCCTTTTAAGGTAACAAAAGCAGCTTCTCGACGGTTTGGAAATTTGTGAATGGTTTTGTTTTTTTGGGGATTTTCCATTGAGTTTAAAAATTTGTATGTTTTTTTATGAATTAAAGAGTTGAGTTTAGTCTGAAAGGGGTTTAAGTTTAGTTTAAGTTGATAAATATTAAAGAAGCTGGAAATTTTAAGTTTTAATTTTATTTATTGGATCTGCTCTAAGTTAGTCTCTTATGTTATTTACCTCAATGTGCAAAGTAAGGGCAGTTTGGTAGAAAGTTTGTGTATAAAATTTAAACTTAAGTTAGCTTAAACTAGACATAAGCTTACTTAAGTTATATTGACTTTTCCTTAGATAGTAGTAGCCCTTAAAATGTCTTTTCAGTACGATAAAGTTAGTTTATTATTTTTAACTTGAGTTTACTTCCAAGTTTTCATATCACTTTTCTTAAGTTTGCTTAAGGAATAGTTGCAGTTTATCATTTGAATAATTTAGTGTTAGTTTTAGTTATTATTGCAGACTTTTAGCAGCCAAAGTAGTTAGCAAATTTCATTTTGATTTGTTAAAAACAAATGTCATGGCTTACCCATGCTACAAGTTTCTTATATTAAAAAGAAGTTTAATAATTTTCATATTAAACATGAAATATAAGGTGTTATAGAACTTTCTTCAACCTCTTATTAGACATTAGTACCATCTGTTTTGTAAAAACATTCCATGGAAGTCAGAAATCATTTAAAGACTTCACAAACTTCTAGAACCCTCACTATGATGCCTAATGAAGCCTTTCTGAAGAGGCTGCGGGGCTCATTCAATATATATAGAGAGAGTGGAGGGAAGGATTTTGCATGTTTGTGCCTTTCAGTTTGGGCAGTCATTCAAAAAGAGAGACAACATCGAGTTTCGAATCCTGGCCTGGTCTACATATTCACGCCCGGAAAATGCTATGTAACCTATCCAATTAGAGGGAGTTGAATGCTTTTCAGCTGAGTTAGCTCCATGGGAGCTCAGGTGTTTACGTGTGGGGACAAATTGGCTGTCATGGCAATGGAACTTCCCTTTTTATTCCCTTTTTTTTTTTTTTAATAATTTCGTTAAGGCTTTAAGTGTGCGGTGGACAGGGGGGTGGGGGAGAGAGAAAGGCAATGGCATTCCAATCCAGTTAGCCGGTTATCCTCGTGGCGGGTACCATCTTTTTTCTGGCCTTTCTGACCTGTTGCCATGGACAGGGACAGACATAAAATTTAACATAATACCCCGGACTTTTAGATACTAGAAGCTCAGAATGCAGAAAGTCATAAATTGTAGGAGGGCGGACGGTCAACAGGTCGAATACGTAATGCTTGTGCAAGCTCAATTATCGGAATTTGCAGAAGGGCGGAGGGGGGATGGTTGGCTAGGAAAACCACTGCCCCCAGTAATGGTTTTGTAATTATTTTTTAATAAGCTTAGGTCTTAATCTTGTGTGGTATTTAAAATTAAGTTTGTGCTTAAAAAATCGAACTAAAAATCTCTGAAAATATATATCCAATGGGTATAAATAATATGTTTTTTTTTTTTAGATTTTTCAGAAGAAAACTAAAGCTAAAAAACGACAAAAAAATATTTTTTATAAATACATTACATTAACAGCTTTTCCAACAATTTCCACTTGCTTAAACACAATTTTTCATAAATATAAAAAATTTCCCTTTCACGTATTTTAAACCTCTCACTTTGATCATAAAAACTCCATTATGCAACGAAGTAACTCACGCAAATACCAGTCGAAACCGAAACAGATTCATTTTTCAGCTGCAGATGCAGTTGCAGTTGCAGTTGCAAAATGCAGATGCAGATACAAAAAGTAAAGATACAGATACACCACCCAACTGCATGCCCAGCACATGCCAATGCAAATGTAATTCGTTTTTCATATTTCACCTCTCAACCTCTCGCATCAGAAATAAAGAAAGAAAAACCCAGGAATTGGTTTTTCACAAATTGTGACCAGAAAGTAAATACAAAAATATTTTCATTTGGCCCTTTCGGGCCGTGTAAAGTAGTGGGCAGAAAAATGCGCTGAAGTGGCTCATCGGTTGGGCAAATATGTACGATTCGGAATGCGTTGCATAACAAACAATTTAACAGAACAGATTCACAAAATAAAACATAAAAAAAAAACCAAGAATATCCAAAAGTGATTTTACAAACATTCCAAACATTAATGAATAGGTCAAGGGGTCGAGTCGACCTGGGGAGTAGCCTGGAAAAAGTTAGTAAATAGGAATTAAGTTGAATTTAAAATGCTTAAAAAAAATAGTTATTTGATTTCTTTTAAATGATAATTAAATATTTAGGCAGTAAATTAATACATTTAAATTATATTTTCTAGCAAAAATAATTTATTTTTATCAAATTTTTATCATATTTTATGATCATTACTTCCATAACATCCCTAAAAACTCTCTTAGAAATCGCCTTTAACTTTATTCTCTTGCAAATTTAATTATTAACTTATATAGCCAGGAATTACAGTGAATTTTGGGTTGGTTTTTCCGGCCAATCGAGTAATGAAGTGACTTAATTGAAAAAATAGTTCATTATATTTGCTGCAGACTCTCAGGGGCAGAGGCAGGTTTTCACGAGTAGCTTGGAAATTCTCCCTGTTCTGGCTCCTTATCCGAATGTTCAATGTGGTTTTTGGTGGCGAAGGCCTCTCGGAGTGCCATCCTGTAATCATCGCCCTGGTATCTTATATGCTCCAAAAGCCTACCACGGCTATCGATTACGTAAAGGAAATTCGGATCCTGTTCCTCGAGTAGCTTCACGGACTTGGGCAACTCAATGCGATCCTGCAGGTCATAGCCGCCGAGTAAGCTGGCTTCGGGAAAGCTGCTTATCGGTGGTACGTAAACATCTATGCGTTTGTGTTGGCTGAACATGGTTGGAGTTTTGTTAGAAAGGAAAATTTTGAAAAATTGAAAAGTACACAGAAAGTTTGACAAAAAAAATGGGAGAGTTTTGTGTGAGGAGAAAATTTTTGTTAGTAAGTCAAAAAACTAGAATTTCAGGGCAAGCTGGGATGGTATATTGTAGTTGAAAAAATATTAAATTATATTTGATTTTCAATATTTAGTTGTTATTTATAAGAATTTTGATTTTATGGTAACTTTTTTTTTTGGAATTTTTATTTATGAAAAATTTTAAGAAATTTTAAGCATTTATTGAGCTTGAAAAATGCCATTTTTAGAGCCTTTTTTTTGGCTTGAAAACGTAGTTAAATTTGTAAATTATTTTATTTAATGAGTTTACATTTTATTTTTCTTTATTTTTCATCTTGAAAGAACTTAAAATATTGACTTTATGAACCTAGAAATTTTTGTAGTACTTAAAGTCTTTCTTTTCCAGCCCATCAACCACAAACCTTTTGTAATAAAACTTAAAACAAAAGCACAAAATTATCTTTTTTCAAAGGTCATAATATTTTATCCTCTAATATTATATTTTTTTATATATAAACCACAGAATTTCGCATGTTTTTGAGTAACAAAATAAAATTAAGAGACAGCTTTTACATAATTTTTGATTTTATAAAGCCAATATGACCTTCCTTTTAACAATATAAAATCCAAAAACTAAACTAAATGCCATAAAAAATATAATTAATATTAATGGCTATGCCAAGTCTTGTTCGATTTTTTCTAAAATTAATGAGCTGACAAAAATGTTGATAACAATTTTCGCTTGGCAATTATTTTTTGTGCGCTTTCAGCATTTGCAATTTTAATTAAAAGTCCAACTAATTTAATGCCACAATTTGCCAGGTTTTTTTTTGTTCCTTGTCTAGATATTTGAAGCAAATTAAAAATGCTGTTCCATAATTTATTTGTGTCATTAATTAAGGGCAAAGGGGGTGGTTAAGGGTGGGGTGGGAAAATGGATATTCTTTTTACATGGCATTTGATCAAATAACAGCGAACATTGATTGCTGCTGACAGGCGGCATATTCGTAATTAGAATTCATTGTATTACATTGGCATGTGTTGGTTTATTTGAATTTTGGATGGAAATTAAGTGCATTGCGAGGGTGGGTAGAGGAGTTTGTATGTTAGGTATTGGATATAGGAATGGGGGAATTTTTCTAAGCCGTTTTAAGGCTTCTTTTTAAGTTTTAAATAGATTTTATTCTCCTTTATGCTTTTAAGTTAGTTGATTTATTAAAAGTTTTTACTTTATTTTTTAGTTTTTATAAGTTTATTGATTGTTTTTTTAGTTTATAAACTTTTTTAACAGCTCTTAACTTTTTTATTTGTGGCCTTTCAGCTTATCTGGCTAGCTCCCTAACTCCCCAAAAGAAGGCTTGTTAGTTAGCTCTTAGAATTAATACATATTTCTTTTATTTTGTAGAAACTAAAATTGATTTTTTTGTAGTTTAAATATTTATAAAACCTTCTATTAATTAACACAAAAAAAACCCATAAAAATACCTTCAGATTGAGGGCAATTAATAGAAAAAATAGATGATAATTCCTTTTCTTTTTTTTTCTGATAATTCCCAGGTAGCACTCCTGGCTTCGCTAATCAAATTAAAGCCTGGCATTGTGATGGCCATGAATGGCGAATGGTGAATAGCGAATGGCGAATGCCCAGAGATGGACAATGGAAATTGGATGCTCTTTTGAGTTGCGTAAGGACAATGGGGAAATGCAGTATGTGATGCGGTCACATCCGCTGACACAAGACAAATAATTAACTGTTGATCAAATTCCAGTGACCAGAGGGGGGGAGCAGAGGGTAGGATGGATGTGGTTTGTCCTTGTGCCTGCTACTCCTACAATTTTAAAGCCTTGCCAAGGACCACCTGCGGATTGAAATCATTCGGAACGCCCCAGTCTCCCTGTCTAATAAAGCTGCTTGTTTCACAAATTACATGACATTCGCAATTAAATCTGTATCACAGAGATCGAGGTATGATGTGTTGCTGCTGGGAAAATGCTACGAAAAGTCTATGGTCAATGTATTTGACCAGAATTGTTGGTCAAAAGTTCTTAAATAGCTGAAGGAGAATCTTGTGTGAGTGAGCATGCGGTTTCCATGGGGTTAGTGGCTGGTGAGTTAGTAAGAATTTCTGTTGGTCAGTGTTGCTAGTTTTGGTATTGAAATTTGCATTGTTAATTAAGTTAAAGAACCACAAATTTTATTATCAAAAACACTTGAAAAAACTTAATAAAAATCTTTAAATTTGTTTGCTTTATTTTCTGTTATTTTCCTTCTACTTTTGATTTAATTTTGGTGAAAAAACTCTCTTTAAAGTCATTAAAAAATATATATATTTAAAGAGTTATTTATTAAATAAATTTAAAACACTGAAAAACCAAAATTCTTATTAACTTTTTACCTTACAAAACCATAAACTGAGCTTGTAATAATATTTTAAAATATTTTTAGATAAAAACTGGAATCCACGAAGAACCCATCATCGATGGAAAATGTAAAATATGAAATGAAAATGCAAAACCACGGTCAACGTACATCTCCGTACGCTCTCCCCTCTACACAGCACTAATTGGACACTCTGTCATGGACACAAAAACACAAAGTCCAAACACCAAAACAACTTCATGGACAGCCACGGCGAGGGTCATAATTAATTGGATTTCGTAAACAATTTGTACAGTTTCGTTTTCGGGCTAAACTAAGTTAGTCGCTTGCTGTAAAGTTTTCGCTGGAAAACAACGGACCAGGACCACAGAGTAGAGAGCTGCATTTATCACTTATTAACTGCATTTTCTGCAAAATTAAATGCAACTTTTCGAGGCAGCTTGCAAATGTGGATTAAACCAGCCAGCGGATTATATGAACTGAACTTCACAGGGCAACAGGTAATGATGCGAATTTGATTAGCTTTTAAGTGGTTGTGGGTTGTATCTAATAGCTATTAAGTAAAGCTAAAAGAAGATTCGTTTTTTGGTCTATTTAACTTATTCTTAAGTTCAAACTCTACTGGTAAATAGCAACCAGTATTATATTTACAATTTAATTTCATATTAATAGGCTAGCTAGTATTTTATTGCTAAACACCAGTGGGTTTTTCCTGTTAGCCGTGTTTTTCTATGCACATAATTGGCCAGAATTTGCAGTGCGCCCCCTCTCTTTGGGTTGACCTGCTGCTGCTAATTGGCCAGGATGCCATAGTATCTTGTTTTGAGTTTCCCAGAAATGCATAATAAGAGTCCTGCCAGTCCTCCCAGTCCCAGTGCTTGTGCAAAGGGCTTTTTCTGCGTATTCGAAGCCAGCATTCCCAGTTGGGATCCGATTCCGAAATGGGAGATGGACTCCTCGAACTCCTCCAACGCAATCATAGCAGGCCAGTGCAGTAGTTTTCCTTCTAAAAACCCAACTGAATTTTCCCCAAAGGCAATGCAGCGCTCCTTTGATTAAGGATATTTTCAGGTTTAAAAATGAAACTAAAAGGACAGCCAGTGAAGTGCAGCAGCAGCAGCAGCAGCTGACTGTTTATAAAGTAAAGTAATAGCCAGGCAACATATTAATCTGTATCCTTTTTGTAAAAGGATCTGTTTTGATAGGAAAAAAACTGCAGCTATTGGAGGTAGAAATTTAATATTTTATTTGCTTGGCTATTGAATAGGCAATTAGGCAATAATAGTTAATTAATTAGGTAATTTCTGAGCTGTGTCATTTTGGTTGATAAAAATAATTTTGGATTTGAAAATGATTGATGGGAATTTGAGTTGCGATGGAAAAGCTAATTAAATTGAATTTATGTATTAAAAGGATTTAGTTAGAGATATTAGAGGCACTTTATTTTAGCAAATATATATTTAATTTTAATTTATTTTAATTTATTTTTAGTTTAGTTTTTAGTTTAGTATACAAAACTAAAGTTAAAGTTACAGATTTCCCTGGCTTTGACTTTTATTTATTATTGGCAATTTAGCTAAGCAAAGGCTAGCTTAACTTAATAAAATAAATTACAAAAATATACAAAAATGCTAAAATAAAAAAATGAAATAAATATTTAAATATAAACCTAAGGTTCTTCGTACTCAAATTTAACTTAAAAAAATATTGAATTATATTTGATTTTAATTTTTAAGTTTTTCTTTAAACTAATTTCGATTTTTTGGCACCTTTTTTTTGTAATTTTTATTTATTAAAAATTTTTAGAAATGTTAAGCATTTATGGGCCTGGAAAAATGCCTTTTTAGAGCCTTTTTTGGCTTGAAAACTTAGTTAAATTTGTACATTTTTTCTTGATTTTTCAACTTGAAAAAACATAAATATGTGTGTACCAAAAAATGCTAAATAAATTATATAAATATTTAAATATAAAACTAACCAATTCAACTTTACAAAAATCACAAAAAACCGTCCAATTTGATCACTTAAATTGCTTTAAATTTTGTATTTCTTTCCACAAAATCACACTCAAACCTGACCTAGCTGTGCCCTACATTTAAGTCATTCTTAAGTTATAAACTTCTTCGTTTAAGCTAAAGAAATAATTATTTAGAATTAATTTGAGGCACTTAAGGAATGCCACAATCTGGTGGCGGCGTAAATGTGCCGCAGACAATAACCACCGAACATGGTTATTGGGCGTCGTAACTTTTATTCAACATTTAATTTAAAGCATTTAATTGCTGCGACTTGTGAAATCCCTCTACTGTGTGTGTTTGTGTGTGTGTGTACCAAGGCTTACCAAGGTGTGCGATGGTTCACATGAGCTTTATGCTCGGCACAATAAAGGGAAAAATAATAATAAAAAAAATATGCGAATAAATTGTGACTCCTCTTTGTCGCCGTGGGCCATCTTTTTCCATCTCTTTTTCCCTCCTCACAGCTCAGCCAGGACATTGTGGCGTTTTAAGCGGAAAATATGCCGCACTTCCGCTTGCCACAAACACAAATACAAACACACACACAAACACACACGAACGCACATACATAGACAGTTGACTTGGTTACCGTTATAAGACAGACGCCAAGATGGCTGCCATACTGGTGGTGGGAATTTACTGCCATTATATTTATATATTATTATAATGCCCAGAATGGC